GCCAGGGTGTTGTACCTCCCAAGGTCTTTTAAAAAGAAACAAAGTACTGCTAGAATATTAAATATTAATTTTTATTACTGTAAAAATCATACTGTTTTTGTAAAGTAGACAGACTCAATGAGAAGATAAGAATCCCAGACTTGCTGTAGCCGGTTTGCCTCAGTGGTTAGAATGTCGGCCTGTGGACTGAAGGGTCCTGGGCTCGATCCCCCCCACCCAGCCCTGGTTGGGGCACGTGCAGGAGGCAACCAATCGATGTGTCTCTTACATCGATGTCTCTACCTCTCCCTCCCCCTTTACTCTCTCTGAAAAGCAATGGAAAAAATATCCTTGGGCAAGGATTAAAAAACATATATTAAAAAAAGAAGAATCCCAGACTGTTGAATATTCTTCTTATTTTAACTTCTATGCAAGTTTGTGATGGGATGGTATATTGGTGGCATATTTCAGTTTTGAAAAAATCCATATTTTTTTTAATAAGATAAGGTTTAGGAGGAAATTCTAAAGGACCACTTGTACTGGACTTGGTTTTTGGATTTAATAACACATTTTAAACATATCAGATACTGTAATAGTGAGAATGGTGATCTGTGAGTGTCACTGGAAAGCTGCTGTTTAGGGCTGGGGTTCCCTTCTGAAGCATTGATGAAATTGGTGGGTCTGAGGGATTTCCATTTAGAGAACAGTCCTACTTAGTACTCTCCTTTTCTTGGCGTGGAGAATTCAGGTCGCCTTTCTTCAGCGAATGTCATTATCTCTTGAACACTAACTTTGTTTCATGTGTGCTGCTAAGCACTCTGCATTGATTATCTCAGCTCACAGGGTAGGTATTTCTACTTCCGCTCACAGACAAGGAACCTGTAGTAACCAGAGTCTTATAGTTGTGTGTGGGGAGCCAGGCACAGCACTTAATGTTATTAAGTGACATATTCTTCTCCTTAGTCAGATGTTGCTCAGATGGTACTGTCTGTGAAACCTCTGAGACGTGTGCCTCTGCCATAGTTTCCAGCCTTGGTCAGTTGTAGTCTCAGAGGTCACGTTGGGCTCATTCTTTTAAACGTTTATTTTTGTGGTTTAGCTGGTTTTAGCTGTCTTGCCGTTCTAGGGTGTCTTGCCCACAGAAAGTGAATAAATGCCTCAAGGCAGAGAGAATTTAGTCTCGCTATTCTGAGGGATGCACCTACCAGGGAAAACCTTCAAAGCTGTACAGTTGAAATGCTGTTGTGATAATTATATTTCCCATTGTGGGTTGTCTGCATATATCATTTTAAAAACTTTACTATGGAAAATTTCTGGTAAGCCATAATACTAGAATACTAGAATAACACATTCTGTTACTCATAGTTAGGGATTGAGGGAAATGAGGCATGTCCGTCCTCCCTC